TGATTTTTATGCAGATTTGGTTTTAATTTTAAGTTTTGCAAATATTTATTTTGACCCTAAATTTTCAGTATGGCATGTCTGATTCACAACGATGCCCTTTGCACCTTTGTATGAGCAAAAATAATGAATATTTTCTAATTGATCTGTCCGATAATTTCATAGATAATTTTAAAGATAATTTCATAGATAATTTCATAGATAATTTCACAGATAATTTAACAGATAATTTAATAGATAATTTCATAGATAATTTCAAAGATAATTTCATAGATAATTTCACAGATAATTTCAAAGATAATTTAACAGATAATTTCATAGATAATTTCATAGATATATTCACAGATTATTTCACAGATAATTTCATAAATAATTTCAAAGATAATTTCATAGATAATTTCATAGATAATTTCATAAATAATTTTATAGATAATTTATTAGATAATTTATTAGATAATTAATTAGATAATTTTATGGATAATTTAATAAATAATTTCATAAATAATATCATAGATAATTTCATAGATAATTTCATAAAATAATATCATAGATAATTTCATAGATAATTTCATAGATAATTTCAAATGTTTAATTATGTGGTTTCTTTTATAAAGTGACCCACGGATTTATGTTTAAGAGAAAATTGGAAAGAAATATTTTCCTCATGTCTGGTTTATATATTTTCCTCGTGTCTGGTTTATATATTTTCCTCGTGTCTGGTTTAAATATTTTCCTTGTGTCTGGTTTAAATATTTTCCTCGTGTCTGGTTTAAATATTTTCCTCGTGTTTGGTTTAAATATTTCCTCGTGTCTGGTTTAAATATTTTCCTCGTGTCTGGTTTATATATTTTCCTCGTGTCTGGTTTAAAGCTTTAAAGTTAAAATGTTGTGAATCAGGCATTCAACTTTTAAATCAGGGCTCACTTGACATTTTGCTTACAGTCCCTTTAAGAATATTGGGTAGCGCGTGATGATCTCTTGCAGTCCCTTTAAGAATATTGGGTAACGCGTGATGATCTCTCTTAAGCTCAGTGTGGATTAGGTATGCGTGAGTGAACTGTATCATATGTGTCTTGTGAACATACTGCATGATACAGGGTGCCCCACATCACTAATCAGAAAATTTGAAAAAAAGAAACATCTCTAAAAATTTAATCATGCAAATATAAAAATTAGCATGCAAAAAAAACTTGGTTATTCGAGTGTTTTGGCGTTAAAGCTTAGATATGAATGAATATGTTTAACATATTAGATTTCGGTTTCTGGATTTCTTCGTGCTAAAAAAAACTACTTTTTTTATAAAAATAACCGCAATACGTTCAATTCGTACTTTGAGATTTTTCTGTAATCATCAGTTTTAAGTTTAGTCTAATATAATTCTTTGGACATTCAATCTACATATAACATCACTTACAGATTTCAGGGTAAAATATAGTCCTATGAAAATTGATTTACCAATGTTTACATATAAAACGTACATTTTGTCGCATTTTCTTGAAATAAGAGTCGAAAATGAACAAAAAACACAATTTTGAAGAGATGACTGCTATAAATGTATTTTCGTTTAAAACTGTACTTTTTTAGTTAGTTTTTGGTTTGTAGATTTATTCTGCCCAATGATTAATGAGCGAGGGTGTATGTTGGAATGTCTACGGATGAGATCACTGTGATCTAACATTTAAAAATATGCATCAACAGTTGATTTTGAAGTTTTGCTGGGACTTTACGATTGTTTTTACCTTACTGTAATAACCATATTTTTTGTTGCCTATCAAACTACAACCGGGATTATCTCTAACTTTAGTATCTGACGAATAAAATACAAAAAACCTGAAAGATTTTTGCGCGTCGGAATGAGCATAGTTTAGATTGCAGTGGGACCGGCTGGGCCCTGAAAGCTTAAAAGCCCGAAGTTTTGGAGCCCATTTAGCTGATCACTATCCAACTATCCAAGACTAGAGGATACAGGTTTCAGTTTCAAACATTAAACCAGAAACTAAACAAGTTAATTTTTAGAGATGGGACAAATTTTAAGTTACACGGTAGCCGCGGTTAAACCACGCCTGAAAATGTAAACAATGCGAAAACGTTTCAAATCCTGAAAATAAATGGCGTGTAAAAATGGTCATAATCCAAAATGTTCATATTAAACCTAGCCGAAAGGCTCAGTGTTGCCCGTGGATTTAAAAAAAATCTAATTTGGTTAGGCCCAGATTCTCTCAAAAACTTTCAGCCAATTTGGTTTAGCCGTTTGGACATGTGAGCAAAGAGATTTTTGATATAGATTAGTCGATCACATTTTTACTTTACTAAATATTACCATATAATAAAATTAGCATTATCCAAAATACCGAAACTCAGAAATGACAATCAAGTCATACACATTACCAAGCTTTAAAAATACCTTTATAACCTTAATTTTCAGATTCCGACATAACCATTTTCAAAATTTGTCATGATTGTATATTAATAAAATTATATCGTAACCCACAAATTTCAGAATAAAGAAATTACTGCAGTGATAACCAGAAAACTCTGGAATAGGAAGTCGACATTTAAACTAAAAGTTATGACTTTAAATAGTGCAATGACAATGAGGCACCGCAATTGTGCAGTGTAAACAGACTTATTTTACTTCAAAGGTTTTATAAATTTCTAGTAAAGTTTTTTACTTTGAAACAACATTAAATACACTTCAGTAAAGCTTTCATGTCGTCTTCCTATTCCATAGTTTCTGGTTTTCAGAATGTTAAGTGCGTTGCAGTATGATCCATAATTACAAAATAAACTGCATTAAGAAATTATTCTATTCCAAAAATCACGAAAACAAAGTAAAAATAAAAGTTAAAAAAGTTGCTAGAATTACAATTATTCGGAATCAACATACTAAGAATTTGTCGTTTTTCAAAGTTGCCATATTTAGAACTTGCCAAAATTCAAAATTAAGAAAATAATCTTCGGGAATTTTGCTATATTCCAAAAAAAACTTATTTAAAACATATTTTGAATTAATTTGTTTATTAAAGACTAGATATTTTGTATATTTAACAGTTCCCTTAAAGGGAGGGGTGGGGATTAACACCAGATTTGAAATTCCGACCTATTTTTGATTTTACGTTCGATAAAGAGCACTTCATTAAAATCATTTTCGGTTTTTATTAGACATTTTTTTATTCAAAAAGGAAAATTAAAAAATAAATCGGTATTCCGTTGAACTACTAATATTCTTGCGTGCATGTGAAATAAAAAATTGAAAAAAATATGATTAGATTTATCTACTGAACCTGAACTTTGTATTAATTTAACTCAGTTGTTTACTGTCAATCTGACAAGATTTTAGTGTTAGTGATGTGTTACAGTCTTACAAGACTTAAAGGGAGTGTTCGCAAAAAATGAAAAGGGGGTTTAAGCTTATGGCGAAAAAATAATCGCTTTTGATCGCTACTAATCTTACTTATATCCTGTTAAAAAGACTCATGCTGAAGAACGTAGCGTCCAAACACAATCGGAAAATTGCAATTTAAATCAATTTAATTTCAGACAAATCATTCAGATATTACAACCTATAGTTATCGATTGTTTTTCGACGCATTCGTATATAATTGATATTACATAATGTTTTTGATTCGTTTGTATACAATGCACTTAAAACGCCGAAAAATAGTTGGCCGCCAGATGTCTATGCTCTCGCTTTGAATAATTACTTGTGGCAGAGACACCTAGCGGAAAAAAGTCGTTTTAAGTGCATTGTCTATAAAACTAATAACAAATATTATGAAATATTAACTATATATTAAATTGATTATTTTACGATACGAGTCGTATATTACAACTTTCTGAATTTGTATTGACGCTACGTTCTTCAGTATAAATCGTTTAAACAAATTTCTCCTTTTAGACGCAACATATAGAAGTAAGATTAGAAGCGATTATTTTTCGCCGTAAGTCTATACCCCCTTTCATTTTTCGCAAACACTCCCTTTAATTGGACTGTGAGTTTAATTTCAAATGACCCCTCATACTTAGATGGCAGTGCCCGATTCACTTTGGTATCCTTTCAAAGCTTTGTCTGATCAAGCATTCAAGCATGAAAATTAAATATCAATATTTTTGTTTTTAAAACAGTCCATTTCCATTTGCGAGTTCTCTGCGAAAGGGACTTGCGCATTTCTGGCTTATAAACAGCAAATGAGAAACTCAGAGAAATAAATGCTTTTCCAGTAAGAATAACTCCGGCATCTTCCACATTTTGGAACAGATTAAGGTTTTCGTTACCATTGTGTTCATAATTTCGAACATAATGTTCATTATTTCGAACAAATCGTTAATACTTTTTAACAAATCGTTCGCAATTCCGAAAAGTTTAATTTGAAATTTTTTGACTTTTCTTTTTAGTTTCTTAGCTTTAGTATCTGATACTGTATATGGTGGAGTCTCGTCAATAATAAATAGTTAAAATTTAAAATGAGAGAATCGTCCTAATCGTCTCAAATTTAGAATTTCACATTTTCAACGAAAATTGTCTCGTAGGATTTAGAATCAGGAAAGGACTGTCGTAATTCAAAAAGGTCGTATGTCCGATTCACAAATGACCTTTAAACCGTCTTTTTTATCGAGAAAAGTGTCAATTCTGACAATTTCCTTCTTCGCATCAGCTTCATTTATTCTAAAGTCACTTTTTTAGAGAACCTCCTTTGATTAGAAATGATCAATTTTCAGATAGATAAAAAATAATCGCACATGCTCCTCTTCTACTGGAAGGTCACTCGAAAATGCGTCGAAAATGGCGCAGTTTCATTTGCCATAATTAAAATTGCCATCATACCTTTGCCATAAGTCACACTTGCCATAAGACACACTTGCCATAATTACACTTGCTATAATCACTTTTGTCATAATTTTCTATTAAAAAAAAAATATAAATCTGTCTTTTTTATTGTAAATGCGGGAAATTTCCCCATGAAAATTCCCAACTTTAGTTTTCTTATTGTTTTAAAACAGAACAGTTGACACAAGTTCAGCTCCAGATTTTCTCACAATGGAGGACCCTTTGGTGACCTTTGAGACCCCAAGTAAGGGTAAACCAATGGTTCGAGACAGGCAACAACTGCACGTACCTATGTATAGCCAATGCCTCGTCTACAGAACTGAAATAATGATCGGTTAAAATGTGCTTAGCTAGAATTCGAACCCGAATTCGAACTGTATTTGTAATTTGTATTTAATTTGTAATAATCTAATCAAATTTAATTATAATTATGGCAAGTGTAACTTATGGCAAGTGTAATTTATGGCAAATATATTATGGCAAATGTAATTATGGCAAAAGTATTTATGGCAAAAGTATTATGGCAAATCAAACTGAGCCGTAGAAAATATCTTTTATTTTACATTGAAAACAACTGAAAATATCTGTTTTCTACATGATTAAAAGAATTTTTTTTTTGTTAAAAATATCTATTATTTAGAATTTCTAGAATGGAATGGGATAAATAAAAGGCGTTACAATGCTTAATTCACTTACAGGTACAGTGTGCCCCAATAAACATAATATTTTGTTTTCTAAATGTGTTCGCGAAAAATATATCTGAAACAGAGAGAAGTAAAATTAGTAGAGATCAAAACCGAGTTAAATTCGGGATCAGCCTATACCCCTTTGACTTTTTGCGAACACTCCCTTTAATGTAATTTTCTATATCATGAGTACACAAAAGATTGTATAATTAAAAGATACACAAGTAGGATTTTCATCCGCAATATTCGCAAATTAGCGCAAAATTATCACGGCACAAAATTACCTTCCAGTGTTTTTCATTAATATTAAAAGATTTATTCAAATTTTGCTAAATATTACATCTTGTACTAGTGGAAAATGTACAACAAAAGTAGTAAATCAATTTTTTCAATAAGTAATTTCCAAGCTTATTTTTTGTTTTTAAGATTTCACAAAAATGCCGAAAAAATCGTATTTCTAAAAGAATGCATTAGATTCTAGGAAGTATGTACTTACTTAAATAGAATTTAATTGAAGATTACGTGAATGGTTTTTCTTTAAAAGATAATTTCCTTCAATTTTCAGGGATTTTACTAGTTTTCATCGTGATTCTCCAACCAGCCGCAAAAGGTAAAAAAAATTTAAAATGAAAAAATCTTTATAATTAAAACAATAAAAAATATTAAAAAAGTCCATAGAAAGCTTAGACCCGAGCCGTATTTTCCTGAGGTTTTTTAAATCGCGGGCTCAGATTACAAAACAAAAGTTCCTAGCTCTGAGCTGAAAACTTTAGAATGGATATTCTTAATCCCGATCGGTTAATTTATCAGAGCTGGAAACTTTAGACTGGTGGATATCGAGATTAATGTTTGATCCACTCTATTTTTTAAATCTCCAGATTAAATATTGCTTGTTGTCCTCATGAATTTAATCTCCAGATTAATTAACAGATCGGGATTAAGAATATCACATTCTAAAGTCTAGCTCTGGAGATTAATAACATGAGGAGAACAAGCATTATTTAATCTCAAGATTAAGAAAAAGAGTGGATCAAGCATTAATCCCGATATCCACCATTCAAAAGTTCCCAGCTCAGGAATACTCGTGTCTCTGTTTCTTTGAGAACATACAAACACTATTCATGTAAATTAAGATATAGAAATTTATATAAAGTAGTCATCTCTGCTGGTCTGTGTCCGAGTTTAAGTTTTAATAGGGAACACATTTGAACCACAGGAATGTTCTAAGCTTGGCATGTTCCAGGAACGTAATAACAAAAATTCGCCAAATTAGAAGAAATTCAGGGAAATGACAGTTGTTATAGATATAATAATGTTCGTACTAAAAGTCTGGCGAGCGTAGTATGTCATATCAATGTTTCAACAAGCAATACTTTAACGTATATGGTGGGATTGGTGGGATAAAATTAACAAACCTACTCGAATAAATACTGGTTTATTGATTAGCGGACCGAGACCCTAAATATTCAATATACATTGTAATTTAGAAAATGATACAAGTTGTGTGGGGGGGGG